ATTGAAGGCGAAGAAACTGTTTACAATAGTAATAATATTTGTTAGGTTATCCTTAGATTTAGAGAACCGAGAGTATCATCCATGTAGGCGAAGGTTGGAATCTTTAAGCAAAAGGTGTTAGACATAGGAAGACAGACATCAGGATGTCATTCGATTTTCATATTGAAACTATGTAAAGAATTATTAATAGTACATAAAATTGGATCATAGTAAATGTATCACAAGATCAGTAAAATAACTTCACCTTAATCTATTCTTGAATGAACAATATATGTATTAGAATTTTCACAGGTAGTGAAAACTTGGTTGAATCTAAATAAAAATAGGCATAGAATGGTGTAGACAAAATTAGCAGAAAGACGTAATCGTGCAAGAGTTACTATTAGAGTAAAAATATTCATACAGTTGTAGGCTTTAGACATGTCTTATAAGAAGACCTAGCAATTCTATATTGTTATCAAGGGCATTTTATTTATCAAAAATATGAATAGGGTCAAAAGTGAATTTGAAAGGGAGACCAATAAAATTATATCCTTTTAGAATATTATATTGGACGAAAATGTTAGCGAGTTTTGAATTAAGTAGACGAACAAATGTTTTCTGAATACATTTTAGTAAGGTAATTAGATGAGTATTATTTAGATCATATTCCCATAGTTTCAGTTTGGAGATTGGATATATATATGCTAAATTCTAGTGATTGGGTATTGAGGAGATTTGTAAGCAGTCACAGATAATGTGTCACAAACATTTCTTTGCAAATGATCCTAAATATTTCAACATTTTATTCGATATTTTAAAAGGTTTTGGGGCTTTATTATTTGGAAGTCGATCAATAATCCTATACCATTCGTCTGCAAAAGGTAAGAATATTAAATTATTGTAGATCTGAGGGTCAATCGAGTTTACTGGAGCATATGCAGAAATTCAATTATCTGGGATCTCTTTAGTACAATGCATAGTGCCAGTAACTTGTTAAAAATGTCTAGTAACTTCTTTTTTTACATTATATTCTTTGAAAAGTAAATCTCGTGATGGAGATAAATTATCGATACATCTATCTAATATAATAGTAGTTCTTCTTTGATTAAGGACTGAATCAATCATTCGAGATAGATCATGTTTAAAATCATCTACACGAATGTCTAAGGCTTTCTGAATACTTTTAAGTTTAAAATTATGTTCATGTAAATTAGCTTTCATTTTAAGCCTAGCAAGAAGAAGTTTGATATTAAGAAAAATTGAATGGATTAAGACATGGTGAGGAAGACAATCAAGAGGAATAGTATTAGGCTATTAGAGTGAGCGAGCTGTAAAAATTGCAAATATAAGTTAATCTATTTGGTATGAACAGTAAAGTCTTTAAGACACTTTTTTGATGTTTTTCAAAATGATGGAGTAGTTTTATATTGTTATAAATCTTGGAAAGGGCAATAGGTTTTTTTGACAAGTGGTAGTTCTTTGCCTTGTGTATTAGAATACATTTAGTTGCCACTAAAATGAGAAAGTCTTGAAAGTGATCCCAAGATGAGTTAAGAAGACTTTGTGACCAGCCTATGTTATGTGAAAGATGCTTAAAGAATTAGAATTCAACTTATTGTCAAATTTGTCTGTAAATTTGAATCATTTGAAATTGTCCATTAAATTATAGTTAAAGGAAGATTTAACTGGACTTTTCCTTGTAGATACAGAATATTTTAAAGAATTGAGTATCTTGGTTGAAACAATATAGTAGTCAGAAATAGAGAAGTTTATTTAAACAGTTTTACAGTCAAGAATATTGAGTGCTAATTTAGGTGTCATGAAAATGTAGTCAATTCTAAATAAAGATGTTTTGTTGATAAAGGATGGATATAGCATTCTGTCTTTTTTGAATTAGACATTAAAGACGTCATACAAATTATAATGATTGAGAGAATTAATAAAATTTAAATTAAAAGAGGAGTTATTAGGACAGTTTATATCAGCATTTAAATCTTCAATGAGAATAATATGAAGCTTATTTTTGATGGCATCATCCAATAATTGTTTTAAAAAACTAATTGATTATTTTGTAATGTCAGTTGGGGGGTTAGCAGGTAGGAGATAATAATTAACAACTAGTAGTTTTTGTTTATTTGCAAATTGAAATTTTGTATAAATAACTCTGTCAAATTTGAAATCATGAGTGAAAATGTATTTAACAATACAAGGGCTAAAGGAAAGGCTGACACCAGTTCCTGTAAGATGAGAGTTTTGATTATTGCTAAAAAAGATGGTATAATTAGAAAAATCATGGTTGAAAATGAAGGTAATGCCCTTAAAATTTATTTCCTGTAAATCTATGATGTCAAATTGATTAGTCAAATATAAGAAAAAGAGGTAGTTTTGTTTTGAAGGGTCATTGAAAGAATGGACATTATGTGTTGCAATTCTAAGATTTGAAATGAAAGGAGTGTGAGAACTAGAAGAGCTTGTATTATTCATTGTAGGGATAGTAATTATGATAGTAATAATAATTATTGTTGAAAGCTGCCGATGTAATATTCTAATACTTTGTCAAAGTCTTACTGGTCTAATGATAGCAAATCGTCATCCAATCAGGTGCCAATCACCTTTATTATTATGTTATAGTTGGATGCTAGTTAGAGAATTTTGATTCATATAACTGAATGCCAGTTGTTACTAATATATAGCAGCAATCTGATTATGATCATTCCCAATAAAATAGACTATCAGATATAATTTATAATGCTGATTGCTATAAATTAATATATAATGAATGTATTCTAATTAATAATAATTTTGTTATCGGGATTTATAAATAAATTGACAACAAATTAATAAATCAGGTTCGATTGGAAATCTTCTGAATACTTTTAAACTTTAAATTAATTAACTTTTGGTAGTAAATCAGATATGGTTGATTGGATACTATTTTGACTTTTTGCTAAATAATGTATGTTCGGTTGATATAGGCTTCTTAATTTTATTATTATAAAATACAGCATTTTAAAATATACAAATTGAATTTTAAATATACACGCTATATTAGCTATACACTTTTAGAATCTCTATAAAATAATATAATAGTATTATACTATAAACACATTGTACTATAAATGAATTCGTGAAGTTAATTAAATGCTTCATAAAATAAAACCAGAGTTTAATTCAATCTAACTAAACTTATCAATATTTAATAATCACTATGATCCTCTACCGATCGTAACTTCTCATCCATTCTTTTTTTTATAGTTCTTGTCTTTTGAGGATTAACGAATGATGGCAAATTAGCATTTGTATTAGATGATTATGTATTTATCGCCTGTATTTGTAATTTGAATATCTGATGGTTGTGTATTATATGATTTAGACTGTTGTTTATTAGATGTATTAGATGGATATATATTAGACGGCTTTGTATTAGATGGCTGTATATTAAACGGATGTATATTAGACGTATTGGATGATTGGGATGATTGTGTGTTAGATGCATTGGATGTATAAGATAGTTGTGATGCATTAGATGCATTAGATGGTTGGGATGATTGAGATGATCGTATGTCAGATGATTGTATTTGACATGTGTTAGGCAATTCTGTGCTTGATCAGTTTCTACAGACCTTTTTCACTGCCATCCTTAATAAACTATTATATCCATCAACAGTCCATTTTGGTGTTTGAAATGGAACTGTTTGTTCTTTGTTATAAAAATTTCGTGTATCTGGAATCTGATCACATTTCTTAGAGACTTTACTAGACTCAGAAAATATACAATCAATATATTCACGTAAAAATATTTGTAACTACAAGATAAAATTATAAAATTAGTTTTATTAGAATCTTAATTATATATTACATCAAATTTTACAGTATCTGAGCACCACTTTAAATCCTTTATAACAATTTTTCTTTTACTGGATGAATCTTCTTCATCAGTTTCTAATACCTCTAGCGAATGATACGAAGATAAATTCTTTATTGGATGAAGTTCACTTTCTTTAAACATCGTAATCAACAGGTCTTTAATTTCTATTAAATGTTCGATAATATTGGTCCTATTCATTCGTTTCTGAAATTAAATAATATAATAAGAATAGTAAAAATAATAAAAAGAACAAAATATAACTAGATCGTTACTTATGTCTTTTCTTCAGCTATTAAGATGCCTTCTTCTATTTTGCTCATCTTGATAAGTCTGTGATCGTTGTCTTTTTATATATTCCTCTCATTGATGCTTGTGCCTATTATGAATCATAATATATACTATTTCTTCAGAAACTAGAAATAATGTTTTGTCTAAAGCTTCCATCATAACTGGAATTATAGTACAGTTTACTAGATGACGTTGAGCCTCAAAAGTTTTGTCCAATTGCAAGCATTTATCAATCATAAACTAATCATCAAAATAAACTAGTTTGAACAACAATAGCATACTGATTATTAATATATCAAACAATACAAATGTTCAATAAATTCTGTATATTAAACTTTTAAATAAGTTTCAAAATTTTAGAATAATTTGATTTAATTATGATTGCATATATATGTATATTGAAATAAACTTTGAATAATCTTTTAAAATTTAAAATAAAGAAAATATATTTTTTTTTGTTTTATTTATTGTTATATTCTGAATAAATCGCTTTCGTACTATTTAAATTTTAAATTGCCTAAAAAATTAAAATTAAGACCAAAAGTACCATGTTATTGTAAAAAATGTGATAGTAAGTTGGTCGATACAAGAACAAGGAAACAACATGAAAAAATAGAGATACAGCTCAATAAATCAATTCTCCAACTTGATAAAAGGTAAAGAAAAAGATAAACTGATACTTGATGATACTTATGAAGATAATACTCGTAAAGCTGATTATAGAAATGATATTTATGAAGATGACATTCGCGACGATAATATTATAATGATCGATAATAATAACAATTATCAATGTGAAGAATTTTCTATCAGAGAACCAATTGGTGTCAGAAAGAAATGAAGAAGACATGATCAATTTCATATGATTGATGATATTATTAATATTCAGAACGAAGAATCTGAGCAATATATTAACTCATCTAGTGATGATGATGAAGAGTCTCATAACTTAAACGATGATGAATCAATTGATGACAATGAACTGGATTTAGATAATTATGATGATGACTTTTTTGCAGTTCCAAGCTCTATTGAACTTGATTACAATTCAGATCAGGAAATTCCTGAAACTATAAATAAAAAAATGTGGATTCTTATTTGGATCTTTAAATACTAAGAAAGGTTTAGACTTTCTGACGTTTCAATCAATTCTTTGATTGGATTCATCAACATTATTTTGAAAGATATTAATTCAAATCAGTTTAAAGAATTTTCTTTAACCGTTTACATGACTAGAAAATTATTAAACATCAAAAAAAAGTCAAAAACGTATGCCGTATGTCCCAAATGTGATAAGTTGTATAATATTGCAGATATTATGCTAAATAACTCAATATATATCGGGAGTGGATTCAAATGTACTTATATCAAATTTCCTAATCATCCAATGCAAAGTCATTGTAAATCTTGTAGAGCAGAACTGTTAGAAAAGATACCAACAGTCAAAAATTATGCTTGGCGTCCAAAAAAGATATATACATTACCATCTTTAAAGGTACAGTTAATAATTATGTATAACTGACCGAAATTTAAAGGTCTCTTGAAGAAATAGACTAACTGGAAAGTAGATAATGGATTAATGACTGATTTTATGATGGCAAAATTTGGAAAAATTTTCTATCGTATTTAAATATTCTGAACTCTGGCAAATTCTTTAATGCTGAAACGGCTGATACTAATCTCAGAATCATGATCAATTTAGATTAGTTTTAACCGTTTAAATCATCAATTCGAAGTTGTAGTGTGATTTATAGTTCTATTTGTAATTTACCTTGTGAATTAAGATTTAAGAAAGAAAACATGTTGATTCTTAGACTATTACCAGAGCCTAGTAAGGTAAAATTGCATCGAATCAACCATTACCTCACTCCTATAGTAGACGAATTATTAGAGTTTTGGGATGGTTGTAATTTACAAACAGAAAATAATCCAGTAATGAAAAAAGTTCGATTGGCTATTATTTGTTGTAGCTGTGACATATCAGCTGCAAGAAAATTATGTGGCCACATATCGGCACTTGTCGGATGCTACAGATGCTATAAAAAGACTATTAGTAGTGAAGAGAATGAGAAACAGAATTTCAGTGGCTTCGATAATATATATGACTGGTTTAAAACAAAAGACCTAGAAGAGCATAGACGTAATGCAATTGTCTGGAAACTTCAGAACACAAAAAAAGACAGAAAATGACATATTAGAACAAGTCACGTACGTTGGTCAGAAATGCTAAGATTACCCTATTTTAATCTAATTAGACATCTTATTGTCGACCTGATACATTGTCTTTTCCTTAGTATTACCCGCTGGATAGTAAAAAGGTTATGGGTAAATGAGGGTAAAATCGATAAAAAAAATTAGAGTTGATAGAAAAAAGAGCAAAAGATATAAAAGTACCAGCTGATTTAAGTCAAATTCCTTACAAAATAGCAAGTGAGGAAGGATTCTCTGGTTATACTGCCGATCAATGAAAGTCATTTATTCTAATATACGCAACTCCATTGATGTGAGACCTTCTGGATAATAAAGATCGTTAAATTTTAACCAATTTTGTAAAGGCTTGTTCATTACTTGTCTGTCAAGTTATTGACGATAATATATTGAAAGAATCATATTTTCAGTTATTAACTGTAGCCCAGTTAATTGAAGAAAATTACAGTCTAAAGTTAATAATACTAAATATATACTTTTCGCTTCATATTTTCGAATGTTGCCAGGATTATGGGCCTGTGTATTCATTTTGGTGTTATTCATTCAAAAGAATGAATGGTATTTTAGGTGAGTTATATGTCTATTATTGTCAAATATATATATTATTGTTAATCTGTAAATTATATCATTAGGTTTCCTTCCAAATAGTCATCGCCAAATTGAGCCAGAATTATTGCGAATCATTATGCAAAATTGGAGGTTTAATGACCTTCTATCTGCTCAATTAAATAATATGAACCTTGTTAGAGCTTTAAAATTAATAGAACTACGGGCATCATCAGGGAGTTTAGCAGCTTATGATAAATTTGAATTTGTTGAACTAAATCGATTTAGGCTAATTTATAGTCTTGAGGTTGAAATTATAATTACTAGCACTGAATTTTTTCCTGGTGAGATGATGTCTCCCAAAGAATTAATGTTAGCTTGCCAGACGATTTATATATACTTCTAGTAGAGTATTACAATACGGCGTATAAAGGGTTAGATTTTCTTTCAATTGTAGAAGTAGCCCAAAGTCCAGGATACTTCAAACGCTGAGTTATAATATAACTACATATAAATCAGTATAGGCGCACTAGAATTGGAGCTGAAGTCTTCAGATTGGCTATTATACCCCGTTATTTGAAAAATTCCTTTATCCTTGTGAAATTTGTTCAGGAAAATGGATCTATTTCCAGGTCAAGTCTAATACTTCTTTGAACATGAAGTGAATACAAAGAATAAAAAACATCTATTAGTTTACATAAGATGGTTTAAGCCAGCTTCGTCTCATCAGATAAGATTTTACTTTTATATTGGCAATGATTAGAACTGCAATGTGGAAATTTGGTCAAAGGATTTTATGATAGTAGTAGAGATCACATTATACCAGTACATAATATTTTAGGCTGATTTATACCTTATAATTACAAAATAGGAAAAAATCAAATTAAACATATGGCCGTAATTCCTATAGGAAGAAAATTTCATTTGTAACTAAACAGTATTTCTAGCAAATTTACCAATTTTTTTAAAAAAAATTCGATCATTAAGATACGGGTATATGAAATTCTTTGTAAAGCCAATAAGATGAAGACAGTTATTTTCAAAAATAAGATAGAAGATAGCTATCTCCCATCAAAATTATGAAGATGAAGAATATATAAGAATATATAATGATGAGAAATAATGTTTGATAGGATATGCGGATGTGTAAGTATTGAGTTAATATTTATCAAACATCGAACATTTATTCTTTAATTTGTAAATTTGAAATTATACACATATATTTATATTTTACTAATAATTTCATTATGCAATAACATATACCGTAATTATTTTTTACAAATAAATATCAACAGAAAGCCAGTTGTTCTTTATTTACATATGGAGACTCCAAATCAATAAATATATCAAAATTGTCTATTTAATGTACTAATATATTTTAATATATAAGTTCCCAGTTTGTAAAAAAATAACGATTGCTCTTTATTTTATCTATTTTATCATATAAAGACTTCAGATTAATAAATTAATTTCAACTGTTATGATTGCCGATTAGACTGCATTTTGCCTGTTAACATTTATAGGCAATTTTCTGATTGTATCTAATTTTTTACAGGTACTGATCACCATTTTTTTTTGTCATTTTAAGGGCTGGAATTGACTAATAAACTACAATCGGCATGATTGTCAGGAATGGCGTTTTACCTATGTCTTTATTCAAAGGTTCAAAAATTTATGTATTATGTTTGTTAAGAATATTTTTGTTGAGAAGAGTAGTTTGGAAATCATGATAAGACTTGAGTAACTTATTAAGTATAGGAATAGATTCTAATATACATTGTTATTGTTTATAACAAATAAGAACTAGTTATTTATTAGTTTGTTTTTGCATATGAGCAGTGCAGAGATTGGTATTTATATATGGGGATTTTTGGTTAACTTCCTTAACTGATTCTGGTAAGTTATTATTAAATTTCTCTGCTTTAGCAGGAGTGACGACTTTGATGTGAAGGGCTTTTTCAATGATGGCTAAATGTTGTTGTGAAAATTTAAATTCAACATAAAGATCAGTGAGCGTGATGAAAATAGAAGTGAGTTGGAAGGTGACAAATTGTTTAAAGTTTGGGTTGTGGATTGAACCACCTTTTGCAGTACTATTATTTAATTTTGGGGTAAGAAGAACTTAAGTTTTCATAAAATTATCTATGAGATCGTCAGCCTAATACAATTTAGGTTTAATACTAGAAGAACTAGAAGAAGATGATTTAGTATTGGATTTAAGCAGTGAAGGTGAGGGGTCTTCTCTTAGGAGTTTCTTGAGAATTGTTAGTATGTTGAAGATTCTTGGTCACGTGAGTAAAAGTAATGTTGTCACGAATGGCATCTCTTATAGGACTATGTTTAGATGCAGTATAATTGTTGAATTGAGCAAGTTGAAATCTTTAATACAGATTTTGCATATTACGGTCTTTGAGAAATTGACGACGCTTAAGACAAGTAGAAGCATTATGTGCTGAAGAGCAAATAGCATAGAGTTTAACTTTTAGGTCAATTCATTCAAGTTTCTTATTATTTAAAGTTAAATTTTTGATGTTTATAGTAGCTTGGGTATCTTCTTTATTGAGAAAATAGAAAAACACATGCTGTAAATAATTATAATTAGAGCAAGCTCTAGGAATAATCCATACAGTAACAGAGACTATGTTTTCAATATCATAAAGGTCACGTGATTTAATGTTACAAGGAAGGTTAGTAAGTTTGGCTGAAAATGCAGAGCAAGCTTGAATATCAGGTCTTGAGAAACTACAAGGATAGTAACAGATCATATCGTTAAGAAGGTAAATTCTATCTCCTTTTTTAGTTCTTCAAATTTGGCTTTCTCATCGAAAGTAATTGTAGCTCTTTGTCAGAGATTTTTAGTTTCCATAGTAAAACAGACGATATTTCTAAATTTAGAAAATAGTTTGCGTAATCTAGTTTCTATAATATCTAAAGGAATTTCTGTAACTATAATCGACCGATCAGATATATAAGGAGCAGATTTTTTATGTCCAATAGTTGGATTTTTTTGATAAATCAGGTATATATTATTTATATAGGGAACCCGATATTCAACTTTTTAAATATGTAAATTATATAATATGTAATATGTTAACTTTTTATTTAATAAATAGCAAATATATTAATATATTATATTACATGCATTATTAATTTGTTTTATTGTACGCTATTAATAAATAATATACTAATAATAATAAATTAATAAATATATACAATGCTATTGTTACATGTTATTAATTAAAAAATAAGATTTGTGTTCTATATATAAAGATAAATAATTAATTATATAATTATATAAATAAAATAAATTATAATTATAAACAAATAATAACTTACTTATGCAGCTTTATTCAGATTGGTATGAGAATGAAATTGTCCATTTCAGAACATTGTTTAGTAGTTTGAGATTGTCTACATATGTATCATCTTTATATTATCTTTTCCTTATAATTTTAATATTTTGGGTAATTTCTCCAATTAAATCTGCGTACTGTAAGAGCTATTTAACCTTGGTGATTTATAAATAAGTTTTAGTTAATATTATACTATTAATATATTAAATGCTAAGAATAGTGCATATTTTTGTTTACCCTTTGCGATCTCCACTTCTTGTCATATACATGTATGATATGATTCAAATTTTCATTTTTTGTTAGACAAATTTTTCTATTTTTCTCTTCTTGTGCTAGAAGAGAAAATAATTAATACTTAACTGATAAAATATTAGTAATTATATATAGTAAAAATTTGTTACCTTTTTTATCATCTGATTCAGAAATTTCATCTGAATAGTAATTAGAATCACTAATGATCTTTTTCATATCCTTAACCCAATCTTTCCATTCCATTGAAGGCTGTAAATCTGTTATCATTTAATCATTAGTGTCTATCATACATTATAACCCTCTTCTTCATCAATTCTTTTTTTTGTAATAAAATTGAATAATAAAATATTAATGTAATCAATGAGTTTTTAAAAATTAATAAAAATGCCATAAAATTGATTATAAATTTACTTACATCTTTTTGCTTACTATTTGTATCAGTTCTCTGTTTATTTACTTTAGACTTTGAAGAGTTTAATGAGACTGTATACATGTCTTTTCTATAGTGATGAAGGTTCTATAGAACCTTTTTCAGTTCTGTGTCAGTATATTGAAATCTATCACACTAAGTACTCTCTTTATGGCCAGTATTGTCTCTTGAATTATATAAACTTTGATATTGATCTAATGTTTTTTGTGATCTAATTTTAAAGTGTTGTCTAAACTCTTTAAAGTTTGGATAACATTATTCTAAAATAATTAAAAGAACTAAATTAAATTAAGCGATCATAAACTGATATAAAATAGTACTTTTACTTCTGAAAGCCTTTTTATAATTATTATTTATATACTTCAAATTATTTCAATTAGATCGAGTTCTTTTGCAAGTCCTATTATCTGATAAAGAATCAAGAGACATAGAAGAAGTTCTTATTCAATTATTGTTTCTATAAAGTTTTCTAACTTCTTCTACTAATTTTAAGATAATTGAACGTAATTTCACGATTTCTGATTAAATAGAAATTAATAAAATTAATATTAATATTCTTATTATTCTTATTAGTTATTAGTATTCAATAATAGAATTTTATTAATATACATCACCTTCTTGATTTTTAATTTTTCTACTTTCACTTTTTTTGTTTCTTATTTCCCTTCTAACATCTTTATAATCTTCACTAATGCTTCTATCTCTTCTTTTTCTTTCTCATTCTCTGTCTCTTCTTAAAATAGGATTATGACTTTATTCTCTCTCTCAGCTTCTACCCTCTTTTACTTGACCTTTCATTTTCATATGAACTTTTTCTGTATAATGACCTTTCTCTGCTCTTCCTATTGTATGATATTTCTCTTAAATTTTCTATATATTGATAGATAGAACTTTCTTTTCATGTCTTATATTTAAAAGATTACATGATTAGACACGTGATAAAAAAGATAAATTAGAAAAATTAATATATATACACATTATAAATAGTCTTAATTAAACTTTGTGATCATATTGATTCAAATTAGCTATATTTGATAAAAATTCACATAATAAGGGTAAATTTTATAATTAATGAAACCAGTTTAACTATATTTAATAAAAAATGCATATTAATATTAAATTAAATTTTACTTACCAATTTAATTATAATTTCGTTATATATATATTAAAAAATTTGAAAAATTCTAATTTTCAATTCAAATTAATAATGTCATCAAATTCTTCAAATAAAAGTAAAGATATTTTTTTGTATACTCCTCTTCTCTGAACCTGAAAATTTATATTATGTAATTGTCAAGCTTATAATAGAAAATTAGTAGTTTTTAGAATTAGAGTGTCTTATACTAAAAGTATCATTGTACTTTAAAGAAAAAAAGAATTGACTAATTCATCACTCATTAACCTGATATCTTCTTTGAAAGATCTTATAAATACTAGTGATGAAGACCAAGAGAACTGAAAGAATTGAATGAAGAAAGTTATTCGCTTTTAGTAAGAATACTGGTTATCTCTCAGAAAAAAAAAGTCTAAAATCTTAATTTCATAAGTAATAAATGAACTACTTTCTGATGATGATGGTGATAATATATTTGAAGAAACAATAAAGGAACCTTCAAATTTAAAAATGATGTTTTAGAATACTTCTTAGATGATTCAGATGAAGATTTTAAAGTGAATTTTGATGCACCAGAAATGGAATTAGAAGGAAATGATTTTAAGTGTACTAAAAAAGGATTTGATGATGCTTTTTCATGGATTGTTATATGGATTTTGAAGTATTAGGAAAGGTTTTGGCTATCTAATGTGGCTACAAATTCTCTATTCAAGTTTATTCATTATGTTCTTATAAATGTAAATAAAAAATTATTCTCTGTTTTTCCTACCTCTCTTTTATTTATATCTATCTAATTAATTATGTAAAATGTGAAAATTGTTGTAAATTGTATAAGAGTGCTGATTTATCTAGCAATAGTCCTAATATTATTCTTAAATTTACAAAATGTGTATTCTAAGAATTCCCTAATCATCCTATGAGTAATAAAAAAATGCCTGTGAAAATACTTTATATAGATTTGTTCATATAAAGAA